AAAAAGTGGGGACCAGGAGGTGGCATGGTGATTAAGGCTCTGGACACTCCTACATGGCTAACCATGATTCAAGTCCTGGGCCTGGTGGCTTGCTTTCTTGCTCTCTCTCTCTTTCTGTCTCTCTCTGTATATGTGTATGTCTCTCTCTAGTCAAATTAAAATAAAATGAATGAATAAATAAAATAAAATACAATTTTTTTTAGAGGGATGGATGAGTCATTTTTTAATTAAAGAAAAACACATTTACAACAATAGCAACATACATCTCTAGCAATCCAGACAGCACTGAGTCTCAGTTCTTCACCTTGGGGGGTGGCCTGTACACACCCACGACCACAACGTGTCCTCTGTCATCAGGCTCAACTGCTCCTGGGGCTTCATGTTCTCTTGCTGCATCTTTTTCACTTCAAAAGCAAACACTGCCTCTGCTGAGGCTGTGGAGTCAATGCAGTTGGCCTTAATGGAAATCACAAAGTGTCCTCCATTACGCAGGAAAGTGTGGGCATTCAGGGCCACGATTCTGCTCTGGTCTGGCTGGGCCAGGTCAGCAAAGATCACATCCACCACTGCGATGAGCATGCGTGTTTGTGCGGGTGCCGAGCATCCTGGATCACAGGAATGTTGTTGGTCCTCTTCTTGGCCAAGTTAATGAGGTCACGGCCGGAGTGGTGGGAGAACTCGACTGCATAGACCAGACCATCCGGGCCTACAATGTCAGAGACGTGGGAGACAGTGGTGCCTGAGGCAGCCCCGAGGGAGAGCACCTTGGCTCCCGGCTTTGTGTGGGTGCGGGGCACTGTGGATCTGGTCCACACCGCCCAGGATTGCTGCCGCCAGCTTGGAGCTGAAGGACTTCCAGGCTCGGTATTCGATTTTATCATCTCCCTCCGCAAATGAGACTCTCTTCTCTCCATAAACTGACTCTCCAGGGATCAGGTTTTTGGCGACCAGTGCATGTTCCTTTCCTCCACAGATGAAGACACTCTCATGCTGTTGAGGTTCCACCATTACATTCTTCCCTGACTGGTTTCTTCTTTTTCCGCCCCGACTGCGACCCCGGTTGCCACCAGACTGGAAGCCTCCACCTCTTCCTCCTCCACCTCCTCCTCGTCCTCGGCCCCTGAAGCCTCCTCGGCCGCCTCAGCCTCCGCCAAAGCCTCCTCGGCCTCCTCGGCCTCCTTGGCCTCCACCACAACCACCACGGTCACCAAATCCCCCTCGGCCACCGAAGCCGCCTCCACGGGGACTGAAACCTGGCTTCATGACGAATGCTGAATTGTGCGGCTAGGAAGTCTGCAGCGTCCCGGGCTCCACGAGTCTATTCTTTCCTAATACACACACACACACACACACATATACCAGACCCGGTGGCTTAAAACTCACGCCGGGTGCGTGTGAGTGCGTGCCCAAGATCCCAAGAGGAGAATGGAGGAGAAGGGATTGCAGTGTAGCCATCCCCCCTGGGGGGGGGGTGATTTCTCGCTTTCTGTCTCAAACAAACAAAAAAACAAAAAACTCTCCATAAATAAATAAGTAAATAAAAGGTGAACTCCTACATAATGGGCTGCCATTCAAGTCTTGGATCCCGTGGCTTAAAAATCACATGGAGCTCATGTGCATGCATGCATGCGTGTCCAAAATCCCAGAAGGAGAGTGGGAGCAAAGGATTGTGGCACGGCCGTCCCCCCAAGGGGCGATTTCTCACTTTTCCTCTCTCTGTCTCTCTCTGGCAAGCACAAAAATTAATTAATTATTTAATTAAAGGCTGCTCTTCTGTCCTCCAGTTCCAGTCCTATCCTCTTCAATTCCATTTCCCATAATCAGAAACCCGATTGTTTTCCCCAGCTTCTGTCACCCGTTCATCTTCTCACCCTGGTTTCTGGACACCCAAAGCTGCTTTACCACCTGTACTTGCCGTTTTCATGGAATGGATCTTCATTACTCTCAGGTCTACCCAGCTCTTGTCTTCATTCCCACTGTTCCTTTCTTAGTCCAAGCCCTCATTAACAGTTTCCTAATTATAGAGACAGCCTCCTACCTGGCCCTCCTGTTTCCACTCTTCTCACTCTTTTGCTCTAGAGTGCATGCATTTGCTAGAGAGAGACAGAGAGAGGAAAAGTAAGAAATCATCCTCCAGGGGGGCTGGCCAAGCTGCAATCTCTTCTCCTCCATTCTCCTCCTAGGATTTTGGGCACTAACACACACATACCCAGCATGTTTCTCAAACTGCCCTGTCTAGGATGCAAATCACTCAGTCGGCAGTGTGGGATCCAGCCACCTTAATCTCCATGCCACCGCTGGCCCTGCTTCCATCTTTTCACATGACAAACTCAAATCTCTTTAAGCCCTACCTTAAGCATTAAGGTATCTTCCCCTTCTCTCCCAGATAGTCATCAGAACTTATCGAACAGGGAAGCTGGTGAGCACTGTGTACAATACTCAGTTCTTTGGATCCAGA